TAAATGCGGTAGGTTACATTTTACAACGCGAAGATTTAATATTGAAACACGAGGCGAAGCCGAGTGCTTTAATAAATCTGAGCGTTGTAAAATGCCTACCGCATGAATAATGTATGCAACTTTTTGGTCGATGACTTAGTGGTGCTTGTTTTCGTCAATTTTTACATTTTTTTAAATTGTGTGGAATTTGTAAGTCGGCTTTGCCTGCGTCAAACGTCAGATAAAATTAAAATCGTGACAGATAGTTCGATATGACTGCTGCTTATGCCACCAGATGGCGGTCTCCAAACTCAATAAAAAAATCAATTGCTATTATTTTAAAACATTTAACTGATGCATTTATGCGGTATCTTATTTTGGTGAACACAAGCTTTGTTAATGATGACGTTTCAATTTTTTTAAGGGTTTTAAAACTCTGAAAATTTCTGTGTTTATTACCGCACTTAATTTGGTAAATGACAGTTCAATGTGTAAAAATCAAAATGCCATGGCTATCTACGATACGTAAATGTCAGTTTTACAGTTGTCGAGGCCAAAAATTATATCTTATATGACCTTGGATATGGCATACGCAAATTTCACCGTTCGATTTATTTTTTGTTTAAAAGAGTTTAAGTCAGGTCACGTTATAATTCTGTCTTAAAAAGAAAAATTGTTGTTTTGGTTTTTATAAAAAAGTGTTTATTTTTACCCTACAGGCTTAAAAGATTCTTGATTTACAACACTACAATTTTTTTCCTAATTAACAAAAACCAAATAATACATTTTATAAACCAAATAACTATTTTTTTTTCCTTTATCCCATCCCCCCTTGCTCCAGCCTTACTCTTGTCCTCCCCACTTCTTTCATCCATTCCACCCCTCTTCCGTCTTCGTTCAATATCTCTGTCACACTCTCCTCTCTTTCTTTGATCTCCTCACAGTCATGCAGCATGTGCTCTATCATCTCTCGCCCTTCTCCACACATCCTACACATTCTCTCACTTTCACTTCCCCAAAACTTATTATTTCTTTCTTCATTTCCACACTTAAATCTCGCAATTATTTTTTTTCCTTCGCGTTTTCTCTGTTTAGGTACTTTGGTATTGTTTCTGTTATTATCTTTCTATAGTCTGCATTGTACCTAGATTTACTTACACTTGTTCTTCTCTCTTGTTTATCTATGTCTCTGTCACGCATACACAACTCTTCTCTCATACTCACCCCCATTTCTCTCTTTCTCTCTATTTCCATCCATGCGGATGCCAGTCTTTCATAATATCCTTGTCTACCCTTGTGATGTTCTTTCCCTGCTTCCTTTTTTTTTGCTTACAGCATTCATACAATATCATCATACTTTACAGCTCTTTTCCCAGTGTATACTCTTAATTTCTCTCTTTTACATTCTTCTCTTACTATTTACCCTGGCGTCTCTTTCCGTAGCCCTAACATTCACCTCAAATATTTTTCTTGTACTGCTTCCATCTCTGCATATTCCTTCCATCCCCATATCTCCACTCCATACATTGATACACTCCTGACTAAACTATCAAACATTTTCATCCGTCTTCTTTGTCATGTCCGAATATTTTCTCCCCTATACTCCACACCATTTCCATTGTCTGCATTGCTTTGACCCTTCTTTCTCTTATGTGTGCTTTTACCGTGTTAGTTGTTGTAAACTTAAATCCTAAATATTTAAACTGCTTTACTGTGTCTATGATTCGATCTTCTCAACGCCACATTTTTTCCTCCATTTTTCTTCCTTTTTTTCTAAACACCATCATTTTTGTTTTTTCTACATTTACCTCCAGTTTATTTCTTTTAAAGTATCTTTGTAGATTTTTTTCATCTCATTCATTCCACATTCATCCTTCGCCAATATTACCAAATCATCTGCAAATGCCAAACACCATACCTTTTCTCTCCCCACCACCATTCCTCCCGCTTGTACTCCTCTAAACATTTCCTCGATATCGCTTATGTAACAAGCAAACAGACTGGGACTTAATGGGCATCCCTGTCTTAATCCTTTCGTCGTCCAAAACATTTCACTTTCTATACCTCCCACTCTCACACTAGTCACTGTCGCTCTATAGATCTCTCATGCTGCTGCTATTAACTTTTCACTCAGTCGTCTTCTCTCCATGCTTTCCCACAAACACTCTTTGTCCACCGTATCAAACGCGGCTTTTAGGTCTACAAACTGTGTATACACCCGACCTCCTTCCTTTAGCAACTCTTTTTCTATTAGATGATGTAGGATATATACATTGTCCATAGCCCCTCTACCTCTTCTAAATCCCGCTTGACTTTCCGGTAATATACTCTTTTCGTTCATCTGTGTCACTAACCTTTCATGTAACACCATTGCGTACAGTTTATATGCCGTATTTAGGAAAGTTATTCCCCGATAGTTCTCTACTTTTTCTTTATTACCCTTTTTATGAATTGGGCATATTTGCCCTACTCTCCATTCCCCGGGAAAACCTTTACCCGTCCACACATCATTCATTAACTCGCTCAGTATTTCAATCATCCCATCCGTCCCAAATATCCACACTTCGTTTACCAACCCATCCCTCCCCGGTGCTTTTCCTTTTTCAGTCTTCCTACTTGTTTTCCTACTTCCTCTATTCGAATCTCAGCCTCCCTTTCTCTACCACCATTCCCGGTTTTACTATCTTGCGCTACAATTCTCTCTTCCTTTCCATTTAACAGTTCCATAAAATGCTTCTTCCACTGTATTATAGGTATGTCTTCACTAATCGTGATTTTGTTCTTCCGTTCTTTATTTATATAGTGCGATGCCTCTTGCTCAGTTCTTATTGCTTTCATTTTTTCTTCTTTTTCTTGCTGTATCTCTTCTTTCTTTTCTCTGCATAGTTTTCTATAATTATTTTTTGCTTGCCAGTACTCTTCTTTTATACCTTTCCCCTTTTTCCACCTTCGTAAACATTTCATTGCTTCTTTTTTTAAATCTCTGCATCTGCTATCCCACCATCTGTTACTCTTTTCTAAATTTCTCGTTACAATTTCTTTTCTTATGGCTGCGTTTTCAATTTCTCTTTTTTATTCTTCCATTTTCTTTTCAGTTCCTTTTTCTTTAAATTCCACTTCCAACATTTTTTTTATAATTTTCAATTCCTTTTTCATTCCATACCCATATCTTGTTCTTTTTTCCTACTTTATTACTTAAGCACCCGCTCCATCTACTTATACCCCTTACTCTTACTTCTAGTGGCATGTGATCGGAGTCCACTCTTTCTCCTATTTTGAATGTTTCTACCTCTTCTTCTACTAATCCGTTTACTATTACGTAGTCTATTACCGATTCCCCTCTTTTACCTATCCAGGTAAATTCCCCCTCCTCGCCCCTTCCTTCACCCCATTCAAGACTTCCCAACCTCTTTCTTCAATTAATTCTCATAGCAATTTTCCGTCTGTGATTTCTACTTTATCTTTCGCTTTTCGTGTGTTTTCCCCGTCTTCCTCCCTGCTTTTGTTCCCTATTCTGGCATTAAAGTCCGCTCCTAACAGTAGAAATTCTTCTTCTGATTCTTTGATTTTATGCTGTATTTCTTGTTTCATGTTTCTCATTCCTCTACTATATATTGTGCAGATTCTTCATCTTTTTTTATTTACAGTCAGTTTTCTTTCAACCATGCCTTCCATTTCTATCGCCCCCTCTTCTATTTCCTCTATATCTTTCTTCACTCCTGTTATGATTCCACCTTTTGCTATACCCTTGCGTTTTTCTTTTTTTGCCCCTTACAATTTCCACTGAAATTCCTTTGGCAACACGTCTTTCAGTTTGTTCCAGTCTCTCTCTAGTATCCATGTTTCTGTTAGTCCCACAAAATCAAAATTTTTCACGTAGTCCCAAAATAAATTATCTTTCTTTTTCAGACCCGTAATATTCCAAAAGAGTAATTTTAAACCACGTTTATCTTCCCCATTCTTCTTTCCCATTCCCCTATTATGTACAAAATCTACATTCTTAAACCTAAAGTCTTTATTTGCCCTATCATTACTACCCTCCTCTGTGTTTCTTTCTTCGTTTAGTGCTGACTTGATTTGCGAAATTTTTCTTCCAATTTTCCTTTATTGTCATTCCATGTATACATTTTGTCCCCTACTTCCAGCTTCTTATATCCCACCCTTGCTGTGTATACTTTTTTCTTTCCTCTTTAGCTACCTCCCTAATTCCTTTTTGAATTTTTTGCTCTTGTATTGTCCAATTATTATCAATATATATTCTCTTTCCTCTTAGTTTATTTTTATTCTTCATCACCTCTTGTTAGCGTCTTAACCAGTATTTTCTTGCTTTCCTCTTTACCTATAATTATTGTTTCCAACACTTTTACTTCTACCTCAATTTCTTTTTCAAAAATTCCTCTACTTCTTTTGCATCTGTTTTTTCCCTTATTCCCATACCCGTAATTATGAAATTGTTTCTTCTTTCTTGCATCTCTTTTTTTTCCAACTTCTTCTCTTTCTCTTTCCAGTATTCCATTTATTGTCTGTAATTCTTTTTTACCCCTCTATTTTCTTTTCTCAGTTGTTTCATTTCTTCATCATTTCCATCAACTTATCTTATCCTTGCTTTATTTGTTCTCTTTCTTCCATTTTCGCTGTTTTTGCTGGCTCTTTGCGCGGCGAATCGTCTTCTCTCGTAGGGCGCACGCCTCTGCTGTCGCTTCCCTCACTATCAGCTCTTTCTCGCCAGGCCGCAAAAACGTCACCAATCTTATCACTCTCAATCGTTTTCTGATTCGACATAACCTTGCTGTTTTTCTTGGCTCACCAGTTGCACTCGCGTTTTATTTTTACGAAATATTCTCTTGTGCTGCTTTTGTTACCCCTGAAAATCATTGTTTACTATGACTTTAACTTCAGCTGTTGCTAACAATGTGCACTCGATCGTTGCTCAATCAAGAAGAAAGCTTCTAATTCAGCATAAAATTTATTCCTGTGAAAATTTTTATTTGCCAACAGGTACATCGTATAAGTTTTCAAGTACTACTGTAGGGACGAGATTGGAAAACAGTCACCGAAAATAAGAAGCTTATGTGAATGAAACGGATATTATAACACAAAATCGGGGGCGGTAAAACTGGTGTTAAAATCACTAAGGAATACCATAACGAACACAACGCTAAAATAAATAATGAAGGCAAGAATTCATTTCAGATTTATATTCATTTTTTCAAAAATGCAGGTATCAAATATTAGTAAATACTGTTTAAACAATAATCCAAAAAATTTAAGTAACATGGACCAAAATCTGTACAGGTACCGATTTTCTCATAAAATTATATTATCACCTCTTGTTTTATAATTCTGCAACAAATAGACACCATAATTATCATTATATTAACGACACTAGAAAATTACTTACCTTTTCGGCTATGGTTGTTAAATTTTCAGACATTACATTTCCTGTTTTCATGACTAAATTGTAAAATGTTTTCTGATTTTCCAATAACACATGCGGATGATCAAATTCAACTGCATATCCTTCATCCATCACTAAAACCTTATCGGAATCCATTATTGTGTGTAGTCGATGAGCGATCGTCAAAACAGTGCAATTTGCAAAGCTTTTTCTTATAGTACTTTGCAATAGCTCATCTGTCTGTGGATCAACATTTGCAGTTGCTTCATCCAAGATTAAAATGTTGTTATTTTTCAGCATGGCTCTTGCCAAACAAATCAGCTGTTTTTGTCCAACACTGAAGTTAGTACCACCTTCTGACAAATTGCTATGAAGATTTCCAGACATATTAGAGACAGCCTCTTTCAGTTTAACTTCGTCTAACACTCGCCAGATTTCTTCGTCAGAATACTGTTCAAATGGATCTAAATTTTTACGTACTGATCCCGCAAATAGAACTGGATCTTGAGGAATAATCGAAATCTTGGGTCGTAAGGACGATAAAGCAACATCTTTGGTGTTTACATCGTCTATAAAAATATCACCCTCAAAGTTGACCAAACGGAACAAAACAGAAACTAATGACGATTTTCCAGCCCCAGTTCTTCCAACGATACCTATTTTTTCCTTAGGTTTTATAAGTATATTCAAGTTTTTGAGAACGTAAGGATCATTCGAGGAATACTGCATAAACACTGACTTAAATTCAATTTTGCCACTAGGAAACCAAACAGACGAAAGTGTTTTCACTTTATGATCCTGTTCTTGACCTAGTTCTGTATATTCAACCACTCTTTCAACTGATGTCATCTGATTTTCAAGTTCGCTCAGAGTTCGTATTGCCCATTGAAACACGCCTACCAGACTCATAGATTTTGTGATAACAAACCCAACAGTTCCGCCAGAAGTCTCTACGTAAAAAAAATAATTCCAAGAAGATAGTATTATGCATTTCTTACCTTGAAAAATTGTCATAATTGTAACTACTGAGGAGTAGCACACACAAACGAAATCTAATCCAATCGAGAAAGCTCTGTTTGTACCTAAGGTCATATAGAAAATTGAAGTATGGAAGTTTTGCAAGTTTTCAAATTCTTTATGTAAGATATGTCGAATATCGAAAGCTCTAATAGTCGTCAAACCCTTAACAGATTCTGTCAAGTGAGCAAAGATTGGGCTGCGACCTAAAATGTTTCAAACTGTTTACTACAGAAAAACGACATTCATTTAGGAAATAGTACTATTAAGTTTTAGTAGAACGGACAAGGCTAAATCGGTGAAAAAAATTTACATACTTGTGGATTCCAGGCGTTTAAGATTTAAGCTGCTAGCCAAGTAGGTTCTTCGTATAATATACATCAATATTAATATTACAAACGTAGGAATCAGACTCCAAGGACTAATTATACAGACTGATATAATAGCACCAATAACAGCTATGCTTAGCTGGAAGATCAGTTAATTAAAACCAGAAAGTTGTTCCTTTTTTTGTTACCTCCAGGGTGTTGAATAGTACTATTGGTAACTCTCCATCTATGTTTCCTATGTCTTTTGAAAATCGGTTTAATATCCTCCCAGATACATTTGTGTGAAAAAATTTCATTGTAGTATTTATAATAGTCGTAAACATTTTGTCGTGTAAGTATATAGATGCATGCATGCATACTCGTATAAAAGATATGGATCGAGCAAGAATCATTACAACTAAAATTACAATTATGGCAGAGTATATATACATGCTGTTATTATTAGTAAAACTCATTTCCTCAAACTTATTTTGCAGAGTATTATTGTCAGATAATCTTCGTTGTTCCAAATTGACCCTTCAAAACAATATATATTATAACAATCAGACAAGTGTTTTAATTTTACCAGAATGCAATAAAATAGTCTGCTCCTGTCCCAAAACACTCACATAACACAAATGGTACTAATGTTAATAAACAGATCCAATAAGACCCACAAGCACGCATATAACTTTGATAAACTGTGATAGATACTTTGCCAACAGCCCGCGTTTCACTTGTTACATTCTGTTCTTTATGTTCTAGCTTAGATAGATCGGTGCCCGTCATTTCACTTGCTTCATCTTGATGGGTCTCATTTTCTTTCAAAGCATACGCGAAATTATTTTCTTTTAGAAGATCTGTATAACTCCCAGAAACTGAAATTTTGCCGTCTGTCAGTAGGTAGATTTTATCGACAGATGCTAAATACTGTGTCTGATGTGTTACTAAAATTGTGCATTTGCCTTTCAAGTAACCAATTATACAATTGTTAAAAATTTGTTTCCCAACATTTGCGTCAACAGCTGATAGAGGATCATCAAGTAAGTATATGTCTGCGTCTTTATATACAGCTCTAGCTAAACCGATTCTAGCTTTCTGGCCACCACTTAGAAGGATTCCACGTTCCCCTACTATCGTGTTATCACCATGAGGAAACTGTACCATGTCGTCTTCTAGGGCACAAACCCTTACAACTTCTTTATATTTTTTAGGCAGCATTGGTAGACCAAAAAGAATGTTTTGCTTCACTGTACCTCCGAACAACCAAGGTTCTTGGTTTGCGTAAGCAATTGTACCACCAATTTCTATTGACCCTTTAATGATCGGAATTTCACCCAGACATAAGTGCAACAAGCTTGATTTTCCACTGCCAGTGGGTCCTACTATAGCCACTGTCTGATTTCGATAAATTTCAAAATCAACGTCCGATAATGTATTATGCTCATAGCTCTGTACCCATTTGGCGGTAACTTTTTTAACTTTAATGCCAACCGCCTCTTGTGTTTTCTTTATCAGTTCTACTTCTTCGAGTTTTAAAAATTTTTCAAATCTTTTGATGGATACATTGGCTTTTAGTAAATCAGAAACTGCTAGTGGAAGCAGGACTGATACCGAAATCACCAATATTGAATAAAAAGAGGTGACAACATATACGTAATGAGCGTTTGGGTTATTCCCCGTCAAAACATAGACCAATATACACAAAAATATAACAGTTCGTTCAACAAATTTCATTAGTGATACCAGAAACGAGTTTAAGTAAGACAGCTTTCTGATAAATTTCACTTCCACCCTAAAAGTATTTATAGTCATAGTTCTACAACATCTGAAGTTATCCTCACCTTCTGAATGTATCAATCATTTTGATAAATGGTTGCTCCCATCCATACAATTTGATAACTTGAATACCTGAAATGATCTCATTCATATGACTCATTCTGTCATCAGTTCTCACAGCAACTTTTGATCTTAAACCTGCTATGATTTTACTAATGTACACTAAAATTGTTAAAAAATTATCACATGGTTGAACAAAATGTTCAACATACTTTGAAAAGGAGTAAGAACCACTAACAAAACAACCCCTACTAACGCTGTAGGTCCACAATAATCATAAAGAAGATAAAGAACAATCACTGTCTGAAATGGCGAAACACAGATAGTACAAACGGCACGTAAAGACAGATTAATTTGTTGCATATCATTCGTTAATAAATTCACTATCTGTCCAACGTTCGTTTCACCCAGAGCTGATTTGCTCAGACGCAGTGATTTTCGATAAATCAATGAGGAGCAAGCAACCCTGAATTTCATAAACGCTTGCATATGTTGCAGGACATAATAATTTGTCAAAACTGAATCTGTTACGCTAACTATAACGATTATGCTAGCGTAAAAAATTGCATCATACTTGGATGATTCTGTCGAAGCGAATGAGTAATAAGCCATGAGTTTCCCAAAAGCTACAGGATGGGTAATTCTGAAAATGCGTCTGATTAGTAAATAAAGTATACATTTGATGAACATTACTTCAAAATCAAGTTAATGAAAGAAAAAAAACTTAAGCACACGATTGTATCCAGTTTGAAAACTTTCAACATGGCTTTCCACAAGGACGGGTCGGGATTTTTGAGTTGACTCTTCCATGCTTTTTCTAGACGGTTAGCTAGGCCTTCAGCTTGGTGGTGTTGTAAAGTTTGATAAATGTCTTCCTCGGATATGTCTTTTTTCAAACCTATTCTGAATATTGGTATTGTCCACCTTGAATATTTTTGATGAAAAGTTAATAGTCGTAATCTAATTGTATTATTTGTTACCAGTGAAATAGAGCTGATAAAATATTTGACCTTTCTTGAGGGTGTGCTTTTAGTTTTCGTTTATTGGACCCATTTTGTTCCTCCATCGAACTGTTAGAAAGAAACAAAAAGATAAGTGATTGTACTGACTGCATATAATGCACGATGTTAATTAAAATCGTTTGTATCAAAATTAAATATGGTTATTTTTCCAGTAGAAAAAAAAAACTATAACATCATTAAATTTATTCATATAAGGTATTTTTATATATTCTTCCACGGAGGTCCAGTCGTGATCGATTAGTGGATTTGCGTAAATTTTCCAATCTTGCAGGCTATTAAGGGAAAATTTCTGGTTTAGCTTTATTGTGATCATTAGTCTTCAGATAGATCAGATCATAAGTAACAGCCATTAAATTTATATATAAACTTATATTATTTATTTAAACAATTGTCAAGCAGCTGACAAATAGAATTTCTCACAATCAGAAAAAACACTTTTTTTACAACACCAAAAAAATTTTCTCAAATTAGGTATAAAGGAAAATCAGATTTCCATTTTTGAAAAAAACATTGTTTCAACATGACGTCTTATATTTAGTAAACAAGAAAAATAATGAAAAGGAACTACTTAAAGTAAGTTATATGTGTAGATCATTTAGAGCGTAGTCTTGAACTCTGATGAGCGTAAATTTGTATTGTAATGAAGACTATGTTTATAGTTTTGTTTTACACTTCATAATTTCATTAGAACTTTTAGCAAATGTATACTGACTGATTCAAATTTCTTGGGTTCATCGAATTACAATACACAGCTCGATGTTCCACATATTTTGACTGGTTTTCTATTTTCTTTCAATAGAGTTGTGAGACAATAACAATGACACCAGTGAAATACTTCATTATTCTGCTCTTACGGAGTTTAATTATTTTGTATTTTAAATACTTATACAAAGAGTATGTAAAGCAGATTTTTTTTGTAGTTCTTATAATGGAGTTTTGATTACATCTCTCTCACATTGATAATCTCGATAAATTAAAAAAATACGTACTACCGGTCACCGTGAAAGAACAAGAAATTGGCCCATGAAGAAATGGAAGCGATGACCTACGCACTATTAGTTCGAAGTGACTACCATTAGTCATTTCACCGTTATGCTTGAACTGCCCTTCTACTGATATAAACTGTTCTTTTATAATATTTTGACGCCGAAGATAAAAGCTCAAGGCGGATTCATAAATCACAAGTACAAAGATATATTTTTTATTTTATAATTTTATAAAATTTTGAGGTGACGCTAGGCTATTAAATTGTTGTTGGGGATGATCTGAAAAATTTTGCTTGGCGTTTTGGTATCGACATGACATTCGTAACTTACATATAAAATTTGGCAACAATCGGTTCGGTAGGTTTGGAGATTGTCTGTGTAAACAAACAGCAGACAACAGACAGACAGACAGGAGAGAGGAGAGGGAGGGAGAGAAAGAGAGGAGAGAGAGAGAGAGAGAGAGAGAGAGAAAGAGAGAGAGAGAGAGAGAGAAATTTACATGCAGGTACGTAAACTGTAGAAGTGAATTATATGACAATGTTATTCATACAATCACCATTGTTGTAATAATACTGGTTTTATGTATTATAAATTAAGTGAGTGATTATTTATGTATACATATATAGGTGCGTAAATACCATTAAGAAAATCAGCAAACTTAAAACAAATACATGTAACTATGAAATAATGACAGTGAAAAATGACCCTCTGTTCGTCTAAAACAGAGTTCTTGTAGGTGGTTATAATTACTTATAATCTTATGTATCCTAGAATTCAACTTTTTCTGTTTGTTTTCATAAACTTTTGAAGAACCCGAAAATCTCAAGAACTTTAAACTAAGTTGAGTCAAATGTGAACGCTAGAGAATAATTTAACAATGGTGTAAAAATTGTTTACATTCTTAATTCCAATAGATTACCGCCATCGAACTTGTACCTATTTTTTCTACTGAAATCTAAAATGTTTCTAACATTGCGTAAATTTTTGACGAGCGTTATTGACTTAGGTTTAGCAACTACTGGAGTATGTTGATAACAATACTGAGATTTGCATGTTTTTTTAAGGCTAATATTTCACAATATTGTGAAATATCATAGGTAACTGACCTATCGCCTCTTATGGTACAGGCTATTTAATACGTAAAAAAACGAATTAATTCTGGTTAATCCTGAGAGAGGGCCAATCTTGTCTGTCGTCTAGGGGTAGGTACGTCACTGGTTCGCTATCACACCCATTATGGAGGAACGAACACGTCCTACCTCGACCTACTACAGGTAATATCTGTTCCTGCTCTGCAGAGCATAGATCTACTGAACAGAAACAAAAACTACACAAAATTTTACAAAATCTAACTGAAAATATACAAAAATTTGGAATGACAAGCAACGAATTCATTTCAGTTGGTGTTACTGGTATCAAACATGTTATAGACAACGTATGTAACCAAATACAGGGTTTCTATAAATGATTATAGGGTCGAAGTACGTCATGGATGTGTGCCGCCTATCACTTTATGAGGATGTTGTTAAATACGCACGACAAATACCCTCACATCTGTATAAAACTGGTTGTATAAATACTTCATATCTCAAAAAATTAAACTAATTCATTACAATAAAAAGAAAGAAATTTATTGTGGTTAAACGTTACAGTAAATGTTGAAAATGTTCACCATTTTGTTAAAGACAGATATTCACTCCCTTTTCAATTTCAAAAATGTTCTGTAACATCCTTTCGTCAATACTTTGGACCCTCATGTTGCAACAAGAACTCCTGACTGCTGAGACAATCTTGTCAAAGATGTTTGTGGATTCTGATCGAGTCATCTCAAATCCACAACAACTTCCTCAAATACTGAAAGTCTTCCAGATATCCCTTTGTTGAGATTGCCAGTTCGAACAAATCTGTTGATTACATCTCCTCCAATGTGACCCTCTAACGATGTTTCTTGAATTTGCGAATCAGGGTATGCGGGCAGATATTCTTGCTTACAAGCGGTTACAGAATGCACGCACTCTCAGTTTACGAATGTCCCATTGCAATAATAAGAGATTACAATGAAAATGTCTTGTTCAACAGAATAAACCATTTTCACGGTCTTCGTTTACTAGCACAAAAACAAAATTTTCATACGCAAACACCAAGAGTTTTGAAAACGACTGTTTTGTTGTTTTGAACTTGTATCGATGAGAATGACTTTTTTTTTCCAGGACGCGTTCGGACTTGTAAAGGGATCAAATTGTTATTTGCATATAGTAGTGAATTTGAAGAAGGAAAAGGATTTCATGTTGATTTTGTGGAATCATTTATGTGTTCTACTCACTGAAATTTGAAAATTTATTCTCGGATACTCCTCTCACAGCGAAGTGAGTACCGAGCGACGTTATTGTGATTTTAACCGTATGTAACATGTGTTTTTATTTATATGATGGGGAATTCGAGTCACGATTTAATCTTGATTGATTAGTTTTGATTTATTGCAATTAGTATAATGGAGATCCTTATCGTTTTGTTGTTGTATTACGGTGTCACGAAATTTTAGTTACTTTGCAGTATTTAATTCATTTAATGAAGAATTTATTTTATTGATCAAGTCAAGGACGGTTTACCCCATTTTTCAAAAAATGGGAGCTTATATTAACTGCTGCAAGTGTTCCAAGTGGAAGTATCTCACTTTTGACAAAAAAGACAATCTTAGAAATCTACATTGCTATAGAGAGCTTTGTTTTATTAGCTCGATGAGTAGATTGTTTGATAAGCTTGTTCAGTCCAAACCAAGGTTCAATGTTAGAGACAAAATTAGAGGATTCAGCCACTAGGAAGATCATATACGGACAATTTCTTTATTCTATAACTTAGCCTTGCTATATCTCGGTAGAAATTTAGACTAGGTAATGGAATGAAGATCAGGCGCTATAGGAAAAGAGAATATAATTTATAAGATTAGGAAATTAACTATCAGAAGGCGAACATTTCTTTTTCATTCATAACAAATAGAGAACAGTTTCAATTTTAGATATTTTTCCAATGTTTGTGACCACTACATCATCCGGCGGAACTAGGGCACGTTTGAATCAATAAATTTAACATTTATTGCATTGACCCGACTGACGGGTAACTATTTCCTTTTTATAATTTGTCACTTAGAACATATAGTTTCACCAGATTTTTAGAGTTTATCTGTGATCACTTGATCAGATTTCCCCTCATTTTCTAAGGGCTAGAGACTAGAGGTCACAACGGATGTTTCTATGCTAATTTTTGATATGCGTTTGCACTTGTAAACTTTGATAAAATCTTAATCTCTTATCACTCTTACCGAGAATAAAAGTTTTGATGAGTTGTAATTTCCATAATGCTTTAATTGCGTTTAAATTAGTTGGGAAACCAATAGGTTCATCTATTATTATGATGAGTACCATTTAGAATGAATCTGTTTATTTCTAAGCAGAACAATACAGTAAAAAGGTAAATTTATGTCTGATTGTTGATATAGTGTTGTCAATTAGTACAATATGATTTAAGTATTTAACAAAACAAGACATCGTCGTAGTCAAAATTAGGTCAATTATCTCTAAAAGTGATGTTAGTAACGTCGTCTTCAAAAAATGAGCAACAAAAATTTAATGCTCATTTATGTGAAGCTATTGAACAACCTTAAATCTTCTTTTCCTAGAAAAATTACACCACGAAATTATTTGCCCGATTTACATCAAAATATTCTAAATCAAATTAAGTAAACTATCTATAACAATTACACATACATATTTTAGAGTAGATAAAACTACCGATTCGTGTGGGTGTTATGTCTCGAATTTATTAAAAATATATTTAAATTAAAAACTGCTTAATCGCTTGTAAGCTGTTAATGAATTTTTCAATAGAAAAAAATTACTAATGCTGTCAGAGGCTGCAACGCACGTGGTGAAAGCTAGACAACAGCTCAAACTAATTTATCTTAATTTAGTTTCTGTAATTGGTTTAAAACATCGATTTAATCCAATAGCAGAGGAGATCAGTAACGTAAATAACTTCATTAGTAATTTAAAAAACATGTCCTTT